AGGGGACTACTACATACAGGGAAGTGCTGAAGACTGGGATAAAACAAAAATATCCACTTGTTCAGGAGGGAACCCAAAACCGAGGGGTGCTTCCATGTATGAGATTTTATAACTTGTGATTTCCTATACTACCTCCCTTGAGGGTAACTCATCGCCCGGCCCTTCCCTTGCCCTCAGGATGTACGGGAAGGCCCTGGCACCAAGCCACTCACCCCTGGCATTTGCTCTGAAGGTCATAGATCTCTTCCACCTGCACCCCTTTGACACCTGCGATCAGGGAAGGAAAGAAGTCGGGAAAGGCAGCCCCTGGCTGTGGTGCGAGGGCACAGAAGTGGGCCCCCCCCGCCAAAGCCGGATCCGACGGGTAGGAGAGGCTCTTACCGAAATCTTCCACCAGGAGGGTGAAGAGGCCTGGGTGGGGCGACAAGAGGAGCGGGTTGGTGGTCAGGCAGGCGCGTTTCGGGCCCACCCGGCCTCCCCAGCCCCCGGCCCGCCCGGCACCCTCCTCACCAGGGTCGCTCTCCAGCTCCAGCCAGCCCTTATTCATCTTCCCGCGGGGCGGCCCCTCAGCGCCATGTCCAGGCCCTCCCGACACCCCGCCGCCCGCGCCGGGAGCCCCCGCCGCCCCGGGGCCCCTAGCCCCACACACAGACAACGGGCCCCGTTAGCGTCACCCGTCCGCGCCGGCGACACTACGTCACCACGGCGCGACGCTCTCCGCCCCGCCTCTGGGATTGTCTGCCGCGGGATCGATTCCTGAGGTCCTGGCGCTCGCACGGACGGGCGGGGAGAAGGGGAAAGGGCGGGGCGAGAGCCGTGCTGGGTGCGGGCAGCGCGAGAGGAAAAGGCGGGGCGAGATGAGGGGGTGGAGCGAGAGCGGGGTCGGGCGCAGCCTGCGCGAGAGGAAGGGGCGGGCGCCCCGGGCGCGCGGCCGTTAGCGGTCCTGCTCCGGCAACGGTTGATGTTCCGGTAGTCCCCGCGGCCGCAGTCTCCCTAGGTCGCAGTGCGCGTGACCCGGCCCCCGTTTGCGCGCTCGCCCCCTTCGCTGGCGCAGTCACCGCGCGGGGCGGCCGCCCGTGAGGTAGCTCCCACGGCTTGTGACAACGAATAAAACTCCGGAAAGCAGAGCCCTCGGCGACAGCTGGGCGGGCGGCTCCGGCCGGGAGCGGCGGCCTGTGCGCTATCGGGAGGAGCGAGCGGCGGAGGCGACCTCCGGCCCGGGCCCGCACCAGCCGCCCGGCAGGCGCGACATGAACCTGGTCTGGCATTCGCGGGATGCTCCTTGAGCCCCTTCTCTGGCTATTACCTCCGGGGGACGGTTGTGGCCACACCGACACGTATTTTCCAAATCATTGTTTATTCTTGCGGCGGCGGGGCCGAACACGCTATTTTTAATTTTCTCAACAAGCCTTTACCCAGCATTCATCCAGTGAAACAGCTTGATAACCGTTTCAAGGGAGCATCCGCTCGGTTAAGAAGTCTCGGACTGAGCAGCTCGTGGAAGCCGGCATTTGCAAAGTCCCTCCTCAAATGCTCTGAAGATTGTTGAGTCTTCCCGTAACTATCAGTGTGCCCAGAATCCCATTCAAGGAACGTCTTGGTCCAGCGATGCAAAGCACTGACGTTTCAAGGTTTTATTTCTATTGTGAGGTGGCCGGGATTTCCCCCCAACAACCCGGAGCCGCTCAGTAGCCACTAAAGTGGATCCCCTAGTGCACGCCCTCCTCCCTCCTCTTCCAGCCCGTCGAAGTGCTTTTGTTGAATAAGAAGCCCTCAGATGTCATTACTTCTGCAAGTGCAACTCAAGGGTCAGAGGAGGAGATGGAACAAACGCAAAGAGAGGAAGAGCAGTCTAGTCTTAGTTTTCTGAACAGCTAGTTGCCTTAGTAGTTGTATCCATGGGGAACAGTTGACAGTCCCTGCAGATGTTCACGCTCCCCCGCTGTGATCTGAGGACATGGGTGCTGGAGTGTCTGTCCCTGGAGTGACCTGATTCACTCAGCTCTCCTTGGAAGAAATGCTGCCGTCCTCTCCCTTCCTTCATGGGAGTGGATTTTATGTCTTTTTCATTTGTCTCTCAGGGATTTCCCTTTCAGGGATTTCCCCTTTAACCAATGAAAACTAAATTTTCAGTCTGCTGACATTTGTTGGGGGAGGAGTGGCAGGATGTCCTCTCCACTCTGGGACATCTTACTCTTGGCTCAGATCTAGACAAAGATTGGGAACAGACCAAACGTCAATGGCCTGCTGAGCTGGGTGAAAAGTGGTGTGATTTGTCAGTGTTCTCTCTTGTCTCCCACTAGGGGGGGTTCTTGCTTCAGGCAGTCAAAATCCCAGGGGCTTTTTTTTTTTTTTTTTTTTTTTTTTTTTTTTTTTTTTTTTTTTTTTTTTACTAGAGCTACCTTCTCTAAGCTTTTACTGGGTGGAATTAAGGCACCTATACTTGGAGGCAAAAAGAACCTTTTTTTTTCCCCCTGAGCACTCCCTCATGTATTTAGTAGGCACAAAGGCAAAAAAGACCCACTTAGGTCAAGCAATAATTCCAATTCTTACTCTGCTGAGTGATAGCAGTAACTCTGATCTTGGGGAAGTGCCTCTCTGTGACCTCTCTGTGCCTCAGTCTCATCTTGAAAATAGGGATAATGGTGGTACCTCCTGCATGAGAGTCTTTGTGAGTTAACACATGTAAAATGCCTAGAACAGTTCTTAACACAATTTAATATTTATTGGCTAATGCTAGCCTTGATACTGGGTGGGTCCCTTTTATTATGTCACATGAGTTAGGAGGTGAAGTACACTATTACTTTGACCCTGTGGAATCAAGTGTAGAATTAAATTGCTGACCAAGCCCTGTTTGTATTTATAGCTGGAAGAGCCGGTATTGTCCTCATAATAGTATAGAAGAATTCAAGTTAGGAGAGAGAGGCAGCAGCGAATGAAGACTATTAAAGAAAAGAAGAAGGAACGTCAAAGACTGAGGTAGAGTAGGTGATGTAAGGGAGTTTGGGAGAAATTGTCCAAAGGCCTGTGGCATATGCTACACTTGTGTGGCCTTGAGGGCTGAGGTTGGGTAGTATGGAAGCACACACCAGTGGTCCCCCGGAAGCTGCCCAGCAACCTATGCTCCTGGGGCTGTCCCTAATAACAAAGTGCTGGCACGGGAGCCCTAGATTCATATCCTGGCTCTAACACTTGCTAACACTAGGTGACCTGGGGCAGGTTACTTCATTTCATTATGCCTCAGTTTCCTCATCTGGAAAATGTGCATACGAGCAATGCCCATTTTTAGAACCATCTGTAGATTCTTGCTTACTGGCAATAGTGCTTCGCAATAGGAAATTCACACTCAATTTTAGTATCATTTTTTGATGCTTTATGAGCATGGTACCACCAGAGATTCAGAATATGTGGCAGAAGAAACAGTAAAAGAGTAAAAGGGGATTTGCTCTTGCATTCATTCAGTCTACACGGGCAGCACAGCCAACGGGAACAGAAAAGCACAATCTTACATAATTCAGATAACTTGGTACGGTTTGTGCTTTCAAAAAATATTCAATAAAAAAACTGATGCCTTAGCCTTTTGATATTTTGGCCCTTCCTCAGACCCATGGAGGCATTTTGAGGGAAATGTCACATTGGTAGTCGACAGGATCCTCAAAGACCACCTTGTACTTCTTCCTTCTCTTGTATAGAAAATCTGCCAAGACAAGGAGGGTAACCCAAAGGAAGCCGTCTTCAGGGCCTGGTAAGAAAGACTGGAGGTTCTGTTCAACCGCATTCCCACCTCAGCAAAGGCCACCTATGTAGGGCAACAAACTTGCTTCTCTGTCCTACTTCCCAGATTCTCTAAGATCCTGAAGAACTCAGGGTCCTTGATTTTTTAAATGTTCCAAAGTTCAAGAAACAAGTTAATTAAAGCCACTTGAGACAAAAGTATATGAAGTGTGCAGTTGTAGCCAATTCCCTAAAAAGTGGCCAAAATGTATAACTGATACCATGTAACACTTCATCCCAACCTCCATCCTTGTCAAAACGTCCTCTTCCCAATACTGGACTCCTCCTTGTATTTAGAGAGATGGTTATACTCCCAAACTGAATTCTTAACATTCTCTCTTCCAGTTTGCCGGCTATGCCTTCGAGAACCTGGGGATCCCGAAAAACTGGGGGAATTTCTTCAGAAAGACAATCTCAGTGTGCATTATTTTTGTCTTGTGAGTATAAGGTTCCTTTTCAATGTTTCATGGCATTTGCTATATAGTCTGTTCTCTGTTTTTCATCCAGCTTCAGATTTATAGCCCTGTTTGTTTTTCTTAATAGCTTTTTTCTTTTTTTTAACGTTTATTATTTATTTTTGAGAGAGAGAGAGAGTGAGTGGGGGAAGGTTAGAGAGAGAAGGAGGCACAGAATCCAAAGCAGGCACCAGGCTCCATCCGAGCTGTCAGCACAGAGCCTGATGCAGGGCTCGAACCCGCAAACCATGAGATCATGACCTGAGCTGAAGTCTGATGCTTAACCAATGGAGCCACTCAAGTGCCCCAATAGCCTTTTTCTTTTTAAAATATAGTTTTTAGGGGCTCCTGGGTGACCCAGTTGGTTAAACTTCTGACTTCAGCTCAGGTCATGATCTTGTGGTTCTTGAGTTCAAGCCCTGCGTCGAGCTCTTGTGCTGACAGCTCAGAGCCTGGAGCCTCCTTTGGATTCTGTGTCTCCCTCTCTCTCTGCCCCTCCCCCACTTGTTCTCCTCTCTCTCTCTCTCTCTCTCTCTCTCTCTCTCTCTCTCAAAACTAAATATTAAAAAAAATTTTTTTTAATCCTAGTTTTGAAAAGTAATACCAGAGGTACCTGCTATAAAATCCTGGCAGTATAAAGTATGTACAATTAAACAGTACATTCTCAAACAGTGTTCCCAATACTTCTCAAAACAGCATTCCCAATCTTTCCCCCTCTCCCCAGAAGCACATGCTATCAACTGTCCTTCAAGCTGTTGTTTGCACTATGCTGTTTCTTAATTAGCTATAATTTGCGTACTATAGAATGTACCCATTTTAAGTGTACAATTTGATGAATTTTTATAAGCTCTTATATCATGGGGATATAATGTATATCCTCATGTAAACACTGCCCCAATCAAAGTAAATATTTCCATCATTGGAAAGTTCCCTCCTGCACTCTTCTAGTCAGTCCCCTCAGAGATCATCACGTTCTGATCCATAGATTACTTTTGCCTTTTATTATACTTCATATAAATGGAATCATACAGCATTTGCACTCTTGTTTCTGGCTTCTTTTGCTCAATACAGCATTTTGGAGATTAACCCATGTCATTGCATGTACAGGTAGCTTGTACCTTTTTGTCCCCTAGTAGTATTCTGTTCTATGAATATTTTTTTTTTTTTTAAATTTTTTTTTTTCAACGTTTATTTATTTTTGGGACAGAGAGAGACAGAGCATGAACGGGGGAGGGGCAGAGAGAGAGGGAGACACAGAATCAGAAACAGGCTCCAGGCTCTGAGCCATCAGCCCAGAGCCCGATGCGGGGCTCGAACTCACGGACCGCGAGATCGTGACCTGGCTGAAGTCGGACGCTTAACCGACTGCGCCACCCAGGCGCCCCTCTATGAATATTTTATAATTGGCTTATTTATCCATCTGCTGATGGACATTTGAATTGTTTCCATTTGAGGCCTATTATGAATAAAGTGGCAATGACTATTCCTGTACAAGTGTTTTTGTGAACACGCATTTTCACTTCTCTTGGACAAATGCCTAGGAGTGGAATTACTGGTTGTATGCTAACTGCGTGTTTAACTTTATGTGAAGTTGCCAAATCACTTTTCGAAGAGATTGTACCAGTTTACACTCCCACTAGCAATTTCTGAGAATTCTGGTTGCACAATATTCTTGCAGTTCTTGCAGAACTTGATATGGTCGATCTTTTTCATGTTAGCCATTCTATTACGTGTGTACTGGGATTTCATTGTAGTTTTAATTTGCATTTCTCTGTTGACTTAAGATGTTGAGCTTCTTTTGTGTGCTTACTGGCCATTCACTTACGTTCTTTTGTGAAGTGTCTGAACAAATATTTTTCCTTTGTAAAAGTAGAGCTGTTTTGTCTTATCAAGTTATAAGAGTTTTTAAATATATTCTGGATATAAATCCTTTTTCAGGCATGTGTATGCTTTGTCACTATTTTCTCCAAGTCTGTGGCTTGCCTTTTCATTTTCTTAATGGTGTCTTTCGAAGAACAAATGTTTTTAATTTTGATGAAGTTCAGCTTATCAGTTTTTTTTTTCTTTTATGGTTAGTGCTTTTTGTGTGTGTCCCAAGAAATCTTTGCCTACTCATTGAATTACCTTGGTGCGTTTGTCGAAGCCAATTAACCATGTATCTTTGGATCTGGGTGATTTATTTTATGTCATTGATCTGTGCATCATCCTTACAACAGTACTGCATTGTCTTGATTATTGTGGCTTTATAGTGTCTTGAACTCAAGATTTATAAGTTCTACAGTCTTTTTAAGATTGTTTTGGCTATCAGGTCCTTTTCCATGAAAATCTATATTTAGCTTGTGAGTTTTTCCTTAAAAAATAAAAAAAGCCTGTTGGGATTGAGATTGGGGTTGCAGTGAATTTATAGGTCAATTTGGGAAGAATTGATGAATAAGATTGAATCTTCCAATCCATGGATGTCATATATTTTCCCATTTATTTGGGCCTTTTAAATTTTGTCTCAGCAATGTTTTTTTTTTAATTTATTTGTTATTTATTTTTTTATTCAGCAATGTTTTTTAGTGAAGTCTTGCACATCTTTTATTAAATGAGTGCCTAAATATTTAGACTTTCATGCTATTATAAATAGTATTTTAAAATTTCAGTTTCAAGTTTGTTGCTGGCATATATAAGTGCAGCTTATTTTGTATGTTGATTTTGTATCCTGAAATCTTGTTAAATTCATTTATTTAGTAGTTTTTTTATTTTTAAATTTGTTGGTAAATGCCTTAGGACTTCCTGTGTACACAATCATGTAGTGTGAATAAAGACAGTTCTACTTCTTCATTTCCAACCTTTAAATTTATTTATTTATTTTATTATTTTTTTTTTAATTTACATTCAAGTTAGTTATCATATAGTACAACAGCGATCTCAGGAGTAGATTCCTTAGTGCCCCTTACCCATTTAGCCCATTCCCCCTCCCACACACCCTTCAGTAACCCTCTGTTTGTTCTCCGTATTTAAGAGTCTCTTACGTTTTGTCCTCCTTCCTGTTTTTATATTATTTTTGCTTCCCTTCTCTTATGTCATGTTTTGTATCTTAAAGTCCTCATATGAGTGAAGTCATGTGATATTTGTCTTTCTCTGACTAATTTCGCTTAGCATAATACCCGCTAGTTCCATCCTGATAGTTGCAAATGGCAAGATTTCATTCTTTTTGATTGCTGAGTAATACGTGTGTGTGTGTGTGTGTGTGTGTGTGTGTGTGTGTGTGTGTGTGTATACACACACATACATATGCACCACATCTTCTTTTCCAATCTTTAAATTCTTTTCATTCTCCTTGCCCTATTATACTAGTTAGGACTTTCAATCTAGTGTTGAATAGGAATTACATGAGTACATATCCTTGTGTTATTCCCAGCATCAGAAGACAGCATCCTGTTTTTCAACATTAAAATATGATGTTAACTGTAGGCTTTTAATCAGATTGAAGAAGTTTCCTTTTATTTCTAGTTTGCTGAGGATATCATGAATGTGTGTTGAATTTTCTCAAATGCTTTTTTATTTTTACATCTACTGAGATGATCATTTTTCTTCTTTCTTTTGTTAATGTGGTTTGTTACATCAATTGAATTTTTTAATGCATTTGTGGTATAAACCCTGCTTGATCATGATGTATTATCCTCTTTATATGGTACTGGATTCAATTTGCTAATATTTTGTTTCATTTTTACATCTATACTTGTGAGAAAGATTGGTCTGTGATTTTCCTCTCTTGTAAGTCCTGTGTGGTTTGGGTACCAGGTCTTGGCTAATCTCAATGCCTTTACAAGCATATACATTTTCAACATAAAAATAAACATACTATACACAGTGTTTTGTATTTTGCTTGTTGTTTTTTTTTTTTATCTCTTAATACTTATGAAGATCTTTCCCCATGGAACATATTGGTCTGTTTTTTTTCTTTTAATAGCTAATTGGTATTCCATGGTATGGGGGATTAAAGTATTAAACTGCTCTTAAATGACATTTAGATTATTTCTGATCTTCCATTGTTGATTTTTCTGTTTATAGAAATAATAGGTGTTCATTGTAGAAAACATTAATAATAGGAGTATAAAAACAAATCACTCATATAGTCCTAAAGACCTGAGATAATCAGTGTTAAATAGATATGTTTAAGCCTAATTGGAAACATAAATCTGTAATTCAAGCATCCTCAAGTCGTCTAGCCTTGTAGGGTCACCCTTCTATAATGTCAGAATAAAATAACCTGAGCCCCCATTATATATTACATGTAATCACTGCAGCCAGTCCAGTGCCCTCCCCAGTATTTTTGGAAGATTCTTGGGGTGGGGCTGGGGTGCTGGCATTTTTCCAGTGTACATACACATACATAACAGTTTATGGGTACATGAACAGTTTATCTTCTTTTTTCTTGATTTCCCATTCTAGAATCGGCTGTGGGGGCTTTTCAGAAACAAAAAGGCTTTTAAAGTGTGTTTTTAAAGAAAAGTTCAATTCCTTCCCCTCACCAATAGGGCAGAATGACTACAGTCAGATTTTAAAGCCCTGTTTCCCTTCCTGTAGAGAATACACTCTGAGAAGAGCATATTCTGTACCAAGGGTCAGTACAGTGGGTGGGCTAAGAGTGTGGGTTCTGTGGGCCTGGATGTGAATGTCAGCTCTGCTGCCTCCTTGCTGTGTGGCTCCAGCCGTTTCACTTACCATCCTGTACCTCGATGGGCTCCTCTGAAAGAGGAGGACCACAATAGCATCTATCACAGGGTTATAGTGAACATAAAATGAGTCAGTACACAGCATTTGTTTCCCCAAAGGGCTCAGCACACAAAAGCAATCCTCAGTAAATGAGAGGCAGTGTAGCACAAAGGTATGTAAGGGCCCAGGTTCTGGAGTCCTGTAACCTATAAAATGGGATGATGACAGTACCTACCTCTTGAAGTTGTTATGAGGATTAAATGAGTTAATATTTGAAAAGCACCTAGAGCACCCAACACATTACACAGTTAATTCTGTGTAAGCCCTTTGTCAAGTAAATTACCTATAAATGCATATACACTGTATATCCTGCCCAGCTCTGTATACCCTGTCTTCTTCCTCACCCCATTGCACTGTTTCATTGATCATCAATGTTGACAGCCTGCTTCTACTGCTCCTCCAGATCCTATCTAGCAAGCTGCCTCAGAGAGGCCAGTCCAACAGAGGTTTCCATGGATTCTTGCCGGAAGACATCAAAAAGGAGGCAGCCCGGGCTTCTAGGAAGGTTAGAATCCCCCAGTACAGGGGCCTGGGCCTTGGGATAGGCCTCTTCTCATACCTCTCTGATCGACCCTGTTTCTGTTCTTTTCCCTACCTGTTAGTTTAGAAGTCAAAGGACTCCTGGATTTCCCAATTGGTCCTCCTTTTAAGTTGCGTGCTTCTCTGGGGTGTAGTACCCTAAGTGAGGAGAGGGAGCAACATCCTGGGAAAACAAATAATCTAGTGCCACTTGAAACGCAGCTTCAGGGTGCCCCCCAGAGCTTTCAGGTCAACCAAGGAAAGGGAATGGCTTTTGCTTCATAGAATTTCCCTTCCATAGAGTGACGTGCCACAGAATGTCTGTTTGTCTTTCTTGGGGCCCTGAGCACTGCCTGGGATCTCATTTGCAGATCTGCTTTGTGTGCAAGAAAAAGGGAGCTGCCATCAACTGCCAGAAGGATCAATGTGTCAGAAACTTCCATCTTCCTTGTGGCCAAGAAAGGGGTTGCCTTTCACAATTTTTTGGAGAGTACAAGTGAGTGATGAAGGGGAAATGTCGGGCTGCCCTTTCGCAAGTTGCTCTGAATTGGCCACTAAGGAAATCAGAGTCCAGTTCTCACGGGCCTGTTTTGATTCACTGGTGAATCTGTCCCACCATTCAATAATGAGAAACAGTGTCTTGGCTTGGTGATTTCACAGGGGTTACTTCTTGCTTCCCATCCCCTTCTTAAATTACAAACAGCTGGGGTTCTTAGACAGCTGCTCAGAGCTAAGCGGGGCTTTCAGGAACAGGAGGCTGTGGAGATAGTCCCCGGAGTTTTGTTCAGTTGGGGAACAGCTGTGAGGAGGCATGTGGGCTGTTCCTCTCCCTGCTCCCTCCTCCCCACGAGCGAGGAGGTTCACTGCGCAACGGCCTGGGTGATTGCCCTTCCTAGGCCGGGCAGCTGGAAGACAGCATCAACGATGAGCCAAGTAAGTCTGTTTACTCTGCTACAGATCATTTTGTGGAAAACATCGCCCAACACAGGACATCCAGCAGGGGAAGGCAGGGGAGGAAAGCTGTGTCTTATGTTGTGAAGACTTATCCCAAGCAAGTGTTGAAAACATCCAGAGTCCATGTTGTAGTCAAACTGTCTACCACCGCAAGTGCATACAGGTGGGCCTTTCTCTGCCCTGGGGACCTCCCACATTTTCTGTAGTTCACAGCACCTTGGGAATGCTCAGGCAGTCTCGGCTTCCGTGCTCCATCCTGGAGGCCTGTATGCAGGGGTGGTTCCAGGCAGTCAGAGGAAAAGTCAGCCCAGTCTCTCGTCACTCGTGACTTGTAAGACCTCATTCATGATAACATTTAGACTGAACAAAATCCTTAGGATGGCTAGAGCAAATGAGTTTAACCTAGAATGAGTCAAGCAGCCTCAAAATCAGGCTTATTTCCTGAAATAGAAGGAAAAGGACCCCGAACGGGTCAGCACTGCCAAGCCCCACAGCCAGAGATGACAGCTGAGGCACTCCTGGGAGGTTTCTTGAATTGAGCTTGGTCTCTGGTCTGATACCTGGATTTGCACCCCTCACACTAGCTTACCCATAGCTCTTCAATGGAAATCTCCAGTCAAGCTCTCTTAGCAACATCCTCTTTGTGAAATGAGGGTTGGGGTGGAGAGGAGGTGATCAAAGATGGTGTTTTTATAAACACAACGCTCTTCCATGTTTCTCTTACAGAAATATGCCCACACATCAGCAAAGCATTTCTTCAAATGTCCACAGTGTAACAATCGAGAAGAGTTTCCTCAAGAAATGCTAAGAATGGGAATTCATATTCCAGACAGGTAGTGGAAACTCTAAGGCAGGGATTGAGCCAGGGAGTGGGTTGCTAGATTTCTAGAGAGGAGGTGAGTGTGAGGGTAGTTCAGAAAATGAAGAAGCAGCCCATGCCTTTGTACATGGGAAAGAGGGAAGGAGCGGAGGGAGGGCTTTTTAGTTATAAAAAGAAAAATTGGGAGGGAATCATGGGGGTTGGGGTAGACATGTTCCTGAAAAGGGTACTTGGGTATCAGAATTCCCTGGTGGGTTGGTTCTTGAATTCCAGTGGGGAACTAAGGAACACAACCCCCACCCGCAACCCCGCCCCATGTTCCACTCATCCTGCCTCAACCCTCTTCCACTGTCAGGCCGCTCAGCCCATCTTGTTTAAAATAGTCAGGCAGGCTGTTGCACTCTTTTCCTGTGCTAGCTCTAGTTCTTTCTACTTCCTCCCAGGTTTCACCACCGATTACATGCCCCTTACTCAGTATTTCTTCTCCCACTGTAGAGATGCTGCCTGGGAACTCGAGCCAGGGGCTTTCTCGGAGTTGTATCAGCGCTACCAACATTGTGATGCCCCCATCTGTCTGTATGAACAAGGCAGAGACAGCTTTGAGGACGAAGGGTAGGGAAAGGCTCCTGGCTAGAAAGATCTCTCATTGGTGCCATCATAGAGTTAGACCTTGGCACAGTTATTAGGAGCAAGAAACTTGCTCTTGTGTGCAGACCTCAGGGTGAACTCAGGTCCCATTCTCACCAGTCCAGGATTCACTCCTGCACAAGTGGACAGGTCCCTGCAGGGCCTGCTCCTCCTTGTGCCCAGGGAAGAAACCCTCAGATCCAATTCTTTCCCAAATCCACCTTTTGAGTGTCCGTGCCTGACTGCGGGGTCCGGGACTTGGCACTCAGCCACATGTGGGTCACAGGTAAAACGTATGGTGAAAAATGCCTCGGAAGCCCTCGGCAAAGGCCTGACCTGTAGCTAGCCTCCCAAGAGTGATAGTGTAATATTTGTCTCCACTACCCTTGGCTCTTCCTGCAGGAGATGGCGCCTCATTCTGTGTGCTACATGCGGATCCCACGGAACTCATAGGGACTGCTCTTCTCTTAGAGCCAACAGTAAGAAATGGGAGTGTGAAGAGTGTGCACCTTCTGCTGAAGCCACAGGTGGGGCCAGAGGGATGGTCTGGTCTAAGAACTGGGGTGGAGGTGGGGGGACTTGTGGTGCCTGGGAAAGGGGGAGGGCTTGCCGCCAGATGGGGACTCGTGGTTGGTGCCTTTAGTTTGGGAAGGAAAGCGGCTAGGTAGGGGCTTAAGGACCTGAGCCTGAGAGGCAGAGGGTTGAGTCTTCCTCTCCCACCTTTCTTTCACCACAGACCACACACTTGAAAACTCAGGTGCCGTCCCTTGCTGCAGCAGCACCTTCCACTCCGGGGGGCATTTCTGCAGAGACACCAGCCTGGAACAGAACCCAGGCCCTTCTTGTACTGATTGGCCAGGACCTTACTTACTAGAAAAACCAGAGTCCTCTGGTGGCAGGAGGGGCCACTCCTGGCAGTCCAAGGGTGTCAAAATCACTAAGAGCAGCAAAAAATCCAAGTAACAGCTTCTGAGTAGTAGCTGCTGAGCACATTTGGGTATGAAGCTGTGCTCCTCCATCGGGTTTGGGAGAGGGGGCCTTTGGGACTGTGAGACAAGGAAAGGGGGCCAGCAGTGAGAGTAAGAACCTAGGAAAGAGAAGTCCCAGGGGAGATGCCAACCTCGGAACGTGTTAGTGGTTATGAGAGCGTCTCAGCTCTTTCTGCCTCGTCCCCAGAGAGCCCTCTTCTCTTCTCCCACCCTAGTCTGGTTCTCATATGCCTCTTCTTACTTCACCCACGTTTGTTATTATGCAAATAAAGGTTTTGTCTCCATTGGTGTCTCCTCATAAATTCACTCTGGAATTTATCTAGCATTCGGAGGAATCCAGAGGGCAGAGTGAGGAAATAGAAAACTCATGCTTCTACTCTATAAAATGCGGTGGATAAATGTAGAATTCTCAGCTTAGAACATAGACATGTTGCTTTGGAGGGAAGCAGTTTGCAGGGAAATCAACTTTACAGGTGGGGGCAGAGATTTCATCGTTGCACAAATAAACACAGGCTCCCATCAGGGAGGTGAGCCCACAAAGGAGTTTACACTGGACTGAGAATGGGCCACTATTGCAAGGCTTGGAGCCCTGGGCCCCAACCAGGGCAGGGACTGCCATGCTCACACTGGGTGGAAGGACTCTGTTCACTCAGGCGGTGCGGTCGGCAGCGTACCTCCACTGAAAACCTTGCTGCCTGGTGACTCGGGCATTTCTTTCTGTCTCGGGTAAGGGAGCCGTGCCAGGACAGCCACATTAGACAAGGCAGCTAGGAATCTGGCAGAAGGTCTTGGGAGAAATTGAATGGAACCTATCTCACTTTTGTTTGTTTTTAATGATTTTGTGGGATTTAGATTAGTGGGGGAAACTCAGGACCTTTGCCAGATACTCAGTTCTCAGGGTCTCACTGAGTCATTGTCACCGATGACGGAGGATAGGGTTCTCCATTCAAATGTTGCTGACCCGTGGGGACTTAACATCCTTGGAGCTTACAGTGATCACTTTCAGATTTGACCAGATTCACTTGGAATCACATGGGGTGTGGGGTGAGGTACTTGTCTTTTTACTATTATTAAAGTATATAGTAAAGTAATGCAGAATTTTAAAAGCCTTAAATTGAGAAGTACTAAAAGGAGAGTATAATGAAAATAGTCTTTTGAATTACCCTTCCCTACCCTTGTCCCATTCCCTAAAGCCAACCACCTTCCATTTTTTTAGCCATTTCTTGATTTATTAATCTTATATATTACTGACTTCCTATTTTGTTACATAAGGATCTAGCTAGCACCTTTAAAGCCTTTCATTCTCTCCATCTTTTATCATTGCATCACAATCTTTGTTACATTAACCTTCAGTATTTACGTTAGTAACCTTCAGTTTACCTATTATGACTATGTAAATGCTGTGTACTTCTGAGCCAGGCAGTACACTAGGATTATTTTTCCTCTCTTGGACATTGGTTCTTTCCTGAAATGAATTCCTATCTCTTTGTTAATTGCTCAATTTGCTATGTACCTGTGGCTAATTCTCAAATGTTCCACATGACAATTACCTCAAAATACAGTTTCCCTCATAAGCCAGACATCAGGTCACTATCAGCTGCCCTTCTTTTCTGGAAGACCTGCCTCCTCCTAGAGCTCACTGCTCACTGGGCCTACTGCACAGCTAACACCCCAGGGCTACCCACGACTGAGCCTTTTTTCTTCCTTTTCTCTCTGGTGATTTTGATGACTCAGTGTTGTGCTTCCTAGCCTGGCTTCCAAGGACACCTTGTCAGAGCTCTGCAAGAGACAGAAGAGTTTTTAAATTGTGGATTTTCATTTCAAAAATCCATTTTTTACCTATCCTAAAGACTCAATTCTTATAATTCACAACTGAAAGACACTTCCAAGATTAAGACTTTAGTTCTTAATCTAGAATTTCTGTAACTTGGGTCACCAGGCATATTCTCAAGACATCTGGGGTAGTATCTTTGAATCTACTTGTGGGGCACCTGGGTGGCTCAGTCAGTTAAGTGTCTGACTCTTGATTTTGGCTCAGGTCATGATCTCACGGTCGTAAGATCGAGCCCCATGTTGGGTTCCGCACTGGGCATGGGCGCCTGCTTAAGACCCTCTTTCTTCCTCTCCCTCTTTCTCTGACCCTCCCCAGATCTCACTCCCTCAAAAAGTAAAAATTTTTTTAAAAATCCACTTGTATACTACTCAAGTGTGAGAGGCGCCATCTTAACTGAAAGTCGTGGGCCTCTAATAGCGCTTTCTGGGCTCCAGCTGCAGTGGACGGGAGGTAGAGCTTGTGGTGGGGGTGGGGGGTGGGGTGCCTTTGTCACCCAGACATTCAACTCCCTGAACATCTTATGAGTACCTAGCATGTTCTTATGGGAACAGCACACGTGCGCATGCACACACTCCCACCCATTAACTTTTTCTTCATCTCTATACCTTTACTCTCCATTTATATTAATAGCCAATGCCATTCTTGTAGATTGGAAAGTCCCCAACTTTGAAATGTTCTCTTCTTCATCTGGGCCTAATCAGTCATTCTCCACTAAATAACAGGGCTTGCTTTCTTTCTTTTTTCTTTCTTTCTTTCTTTCTTTCTTTCTTTCTTTCTTTCTTTCTTTCTTAAACAGGGCTTTTTTTCTTAAACGAACTCTTAGTTTAGGATAGTTTTAGATTTACCAAAAAAAAAAAAAAAAAAGTGTGAAGATAGTACAGGGAGTCCCCAAATATCCCAAACCCGGTTTTCCCCGTTATTACCGTCTTAATATGGTACGTTGTTACAATTAATGAACAATATATTATTATCAACTAAAACCCAAAGTTTATTTAGATTTCCTTAGTTTTTACCTAATGTCTCTTTTCTGTTCCAGGATCCCATCCAGGATACCACATTGCATTGAGTCGTCATGTCTCCCTAGGTTCCTCTTGGCTGTAACAGTTTGTCAGATTTTCCTTGTTTTTGATGACCTTGGCAGTTTTGAGGAGTACTGGTCAGGTATTTTGAGAGCCCTCAGTTTGAATTTGCCTGATGTTTTTCTCATGATTAGACCAGGATTATGGGCCTGGGAGAGGGAGAGCACACAGGTAAAGTGCTGTTGTCGTCACATCATATCCAAATTACATTCTGTCAACAAGTCTTCTGCTGATGGTGACCTTGATCACCTGGTCAAGGAGTGTTTGTCAGGTTTCTCCAGTGTAAAGTTACTTCTTTTCCCCCCTTTCCAGACTGTGCCTTTTGGAAGAAAGTTACTCTGTGTAGCTCACAATTAATGAGCAGGGATTTATGCCCCCTCCCTCCTTGAGGACAGAATATCTAATTATTTGGAATTCTTCTGCATGGGAGATTTACCTATTCTCTCCCATTTATTTATTCAGTCATTTGTTTATATCAGTCTAGACTTAGGGATATGTATAGTATACTCTGAGTTATAATCCAGTACTACTTGATTTATTTTGTTGCTCAAATTATTCTAGCTTTGGCCACTGGGAGTTCCTGTGTCCTTTTCACATACCACTATTATTGTGTGGGTTTTTTTTTCTGTTGTTTTTCTGAGCACTTCTTTACTTTTTGGAGCTACAAGATGCCCCAGGCTCATCTTGTATGTTTTAAATATGTGTTTTCACAAATGGTGTGTCTATTAGAAATAATTAGTGTTTTATAACTTAGGTCCTAAAACGAATAGTTCACTTGAGGAGGGTAGAAATAGATGTTACATAAAAATTCCTAAAGCACCTTCTCTACTTTCTCTAATTCTTACCTTTGTAGGAAGCATAAACTAAGGCCAGAATCCCAGAACTTCCTCCTATTTCCCTTTATCCTCAACCACCCTCTTTCTTATCAATTTGAGTGTTTTACAGACGTTTGCATTCCTCACTATCCCAATTGCCAGGGCTCAGCTCTAGACCCCTGTGCCTCAGAGGACTGCAGGAAAAGCCTTCTGTCTTCATGGGTTCCTATGTCCACTTGCTTTGCTGACACATCCACTCTTTTCCCTTATGCTAATTGCCATAAAACATCTGCTAGCTCTTTACTTAGAATGGCTCTGCTGAGATTGGCATCCAAGCAAGGCCTTCCACAAATACGGCCCTACTCTTCTGCATCTTCCTGGATACCCCACCCACAGGCACTCTGCCCTGGCTACCCTGGAACCCTGGCCCTGAGCATGAAGTCTGCACTCCGGAGAGCCATACATAACCTTTATCCTCAGTCTGTTGAATCCAGCCTAAGGGCCATTTCTTCACCCTTAGGCACTGCCACTGGTCTCTGTTTATACTCTTATTAGGGCTAGCATCATTCTCCACCTGATCCTACAGTTGTGGATCTATCTCTCCCACTAGATTGGAAGCCCCCTAAAGGCAGGGACCTGTCTGTCTTATTAACGTTTCTCCACTCATGTTGTCTGACTCTGGACCCCACATTCAGAGACAGTTTGATGTCTACTGCATTGATGGAAGTGCTTATACCTTGTATGCATAAGCCTGTTGTTTTACTGTCAAACACCAGAGGGCACTGTCACATATTGAGGAAGAAGGTTATAACCCTTTAGAGCTGGAAGTTTGAAAAGTTTGCTTCTATTCTGGGATTGTATAGGACTTAATTCTCTTCACTTGTTCTAAATACATCCATTTGCGTTTATTCATGAGATATGCTCCTATTGGATTTTGAAATTAGTATAAAAGTTATTAATGACACTTTCATCCCAGGTCAAAGACTCAGACAGGTCTGCCTTCATGATCTATCCAGACCCAAAGTGATTGTCCTAATTGCAGCTGCCCTCCTCCTACCTCCAAAAAATGACTGCCAGTCGCAAAGGACATGGGTGAAACAGTTCTGTTCTTTTGCCCCACCCTCCTTATATACCACACACACACACACACACACACACACACACTAAGGCCTCCCTCTAGTTAGTGACATCAATGGCTCTAACCTAAGGACCAGGCAGGAGGTTGCTATGAGAAATAGCAAATCCA